TTCTAAAATTAATCTTTTATTTTATTATCTATAACAAAAACATAAGCATTTGATTAATAAGAGGAAATATGAAAGTTATAATGATTGTAGTTTAACAAATACCAAATAAGAAGCCAAATGCGTCTCAAGTGACAGTTATGACAATAAGCTTCAAAGTTTTAATTATTGAGAATCGGCTTCACTTGAAGAAGAGGTTTTACCAATTCAAGATGAAGAGGGGAGTTTCCATTTGGGAGCATGTTAACAACTTCACGAAGCTAATTTCGGATATGGCCAATGTAGATATCATAGTTGAGGATGAAGACAAGGCGATGCTATTATTGTGTTCGTTGCCGGAAGATGATTTTGGAACGTTTGTTTTCACTATGATAAATGGAAGAACTACGGTTAGCTACAAGGAGGTGACCTCAGCTTTGGTGAATTATGAGTTGAGGAAGAGTGATGGCGAACCCTCCGAGAAGGCATCGGGAGATGCATTAGCAGTTCGAGGCCGTGGTCCAAACCGTCGTCCAGGTGCTCGCTCAAGATCGAAGTCAAGAGGTGCTCATAGAAATATTGGTAGGAATCAATGTCGCTTTTGCAAAGAAGAAGGACATTGGAAGAACGACTGCCCAAAGTTAAAAGATAAAGCCGGGAAAAATAAAGGGAAACCTGTACAAGCTTCAGAAGTGAATGTTGTCAAGGCTAGTGATGACAATTCAGATACAGATTCTTCAGGCTATTATTGCTCTGCATTACCGTCAGTTTGTTACGCTAACTCTACGGAGTGGGTGATGGATTCTGGTGCTACATACCATATTTGTCCTAGGAGGGATTGGTTCTCCAGCTTTGAAGAGTTGGAAAGAGGGGATGTCGTGCTCATGAGTAATGATCACGTATGCCCTATTGGTGGTATTAGTACAGTACGGATCCGGATGTGTGACGGGGTAACTCGGGAGCTGAAGGAAGTGAGATTCGTTCCTCAATTGACGAAAAATATCATTTCGCTTGGAACTTTGGAGGCAGCTGGCTATAAGGTGATCTTGGAGAATGCGACTCTGAAGGTCACAAAGGGGTCCATGGTGGTGATGCGAGGTGTCAGGGAAAACAACCTTTACTACTTGAAGGGCAAGACAGTAACAGGGGGTCTGGCAGCTTCTATTACCACAGAGGAAGATACTATCAGTTTATGGCATGTGAGATTGGGACACATTGGTGATAAGTCCCTGCAGGTATTGGCAAAGCAGGGGCTATTGAAGGGTGCGAAGACATGCAAGATGGAGCTGTGTGAACATTGCATACTTGGGAAGAAGACAAGAGTGAAATTCGGCACCGCTATTCACAATACCCAAGGTATTTTGGACTACATTCACACAGACGTTTGGGGCCCTTCCAAGCACACATCACTTGGTGGGGCCAACTATTTTGTCACTTTCATTGATGACTATTCCATTTCCAGGAGGAATTGGGTATACCTGATGAAGCATAGACATCAGGTCCTGGATATTTTTGTGGAGTGGAAGAAGAAAGTGGAGCTGCAGACAGGTAGAAAGGTGAAGACTCTACGTTCAGATAACGGTGGAGAGTATAAGAGTGATCCATTTCTGCAGTTTTGCCGGGATCACGGCATTAGACGTCACTTCACAGTACGTGAGACACCGCAACAGAACGGGGTGGCTGAAAGGTTGAACCGTACCTTGTTGGAGAAGGTGCGATGTATGATGACACAGAGTGGATTGTCAAGATCCTTTTGGGCCGAAGCGTTGGTTTATGCGAGTCACCTCGTGAATAGGTTGCCGTG